TAAAAACTATTTTAAGAAGAACTAACCTTAATAAAAAATCGTAAATAATATAAAAAAATTTGAATTTCAAATAATAATTAATAGTTTATATAACATGTTATTTTATTATAAGTATGAATGAATAATAATCACTATCATTAACATTTATAATTATGATAAATATATATAATAATATATAAATATAACATATATAATATATATTCATAATGAAAATTATTACACATTATAATACATTATTGTGTTCTAATTTATGTTATAAATATTATTGCAATAAATTTTCTACTCAGTTATCAGGTATTTATGGATACATATATATTTTATATAATATCATAATTAAAAATTCATTTTCAAAAAATTTTTTTCTAGATTTTCCAAAAACCTTTAATTGTAAAAGAATAGAACATGAATGGTATTACATTTGGGAGAAAAATAATTATTTTACTCTTAGAAATAATAAGAATGTAGCATTGAAAATGCTTCTACCTCCTCCTAATATAACAGGAACATTGCATTTGGGACATGCATTAACTGTTACAATTCAAGATATATTAGCAAGATGGTATTTTTTTAGAATATGATTATTCTTTATATATTGAAATAAATAACATTTTAACATAAATTACATTTATATTTTATATATAATTATACTTAGGTATAGGATGAAAGGACATTCTGTAATGTGGATACCAGGTTTTGATCATGCTGGAATTGGTACACAAATGATGGTAGAAAAATATCTTTTTAAAACCAAAGGTATTAATAAATCAGATATAGGAAAAAATAAATTTCTTTCATATATTTGGCAATGGAAAAATGAAAAGGAAAATATTATAAAATCTCAATTAAAAGCTTTAGGTGCTAGTTTGGATTGGTCTAGAGAATATTTTACAATGAGTAAGGTATAAAATATGATTTCTTCTATAAAAAATATTTGAAGTTTTGAATAAGCAGAATATTTTTTATATTTGAAATTTTAGAAACATAATGATGCTGTGATAGAAGCGATTGTTACATTAAATAATCGAAATTTATTATATAGGAAAAAAGATTTGATTAATTGGTCTCCTACTTTACATAGTACAATATCAGATATTGAAGTTGAAAATTTATATGTTACTAAAAAAACACAGCTTCAAATTCCAGGATATGAAAAAATGATTACATTTGGTGAAATAGTACATATAGCTTATCCTGTGAAAGATTCAAGTAAAATTTATTTTCTCTTTTCTTCAAACTATATATATGATTTTTATAGGAAAATTTATTTTCTTAAAACATGAATATAATTCTTTTTTCTTAGAACATGAGATAGTAGTGGCAACTACTAGACCAGAAACTCTTTTTGGAGATGTAGCAATTGCTGTTCATCCAGATGATGAAAGATATGCAAAGTATATTGGTCAACAAGTCTGGCATACTTTAAGACAAACATATATACCTATTATTTCTGATTATTTAATTGATAAACAACTTGGAACAGGTAAACATATTTTGTTATTTTAAATAATATTTTATGATAAGCACATTATAATTAAAGAGAATTTTTCAGGTGCAATGAAAGTAACACCTGCACATGATCCTTTAGATTATATGATTGCAATGAATCATCAATTAGAAATTATTGAAGTTATTGATGAATATGGAAATATAACAAAAGCAGGCAAACAATTTGAAGTATACTTATATTTTAACTAAATAATTATATTTTTATGATATTATATTATGTTATATTTTTGTTTGATATTATAAATTTTTCTACTTAAGTAATATTTCATTTGTTAAAAATAAATAAAAAAATTTCAGGGTTTGCCGAGATTTATTGTTCGAGAAAAAGTTTTAAATGAATTATCAAATAAAGGTATTTTAAAAAGTATTAGTGATCATAAGATGTGTATACCATTGTGTTCGAGAACTCACGATGTTGTAGAATATCTACTCAAAGAACAATGGTTTATTAAATGTAAAGATATGGCTCAAAAAGCTATAGAAGCAGTAAAACAAAGTCATTTAAAAATAATACCTAATACTCAAGAAATATTGTGGAATAATTATCTTAATGATATCAGGTAAAAAAAAAAAAAAAAAATAAACAATATTTAAAAAAAGAAATAATGTAATTTATTTCTTAATAATAATATTTTTTAGAGATTGGTGTATTTCAAGACAAATATGGTGGGGACATCCTATTCCCGCATATTATTTTACAATAGAAGATAAAACTGAGTGGATAATTGCTCGCACTGAAGATGATGCAAAAATTATTGTACAAAATAAATATGGATCAAATATTAAATTATATAAAGATGAAGATGTATTAGATACATGGTTTTCTTCTGCAATACTTCCTTTTGCTATAATGGGATGGCCAGAAAAGGTATAAACACATATAAACATGAATAATATATAAAAAATTATTGTTATATTAAGATATATTTTTAGACTGAAGATTTAAAAAAATATTATCCTTTAACATTAATGGAAACAGGACGAGATATTCTTTTTTTTTGGGTTGCTAGAATGGTAATGCTAGGATTGGAATTAACTAATTGTCTACCTTTTAATGTAAGATTTTTTATATTTTAAGATTATTTTATATTTAAATCATTTTTAATTTCTTTTTGTAATTAATTAAAATTCAGGAAGTTTTATTGCATGGTCTTTTATGTGATGCTTATGGAAAGAAAATGTCTAAAACACTTGGAAATATTGTTTCTCCAGAAAATATCATCAATGGTATTAGTTTAAATGTAAGTAATAAGTAATAAGTGAAAGTATACATGTTAATATACATGTAAATGTAAGTTTCACATGTTAAAATATACTTTATTTATATCAAATATTGCAAAATAAATAGGATCTTATTGCACAAATGAAAAAAAGTTACAATATAGGTATTCTTAATGAAGGTACATTGAAACGGATGTTAAATGCAAATAATAAACTATTTCCTAATGGCATACCAGAATGTGGTGCAGATGCATTGCGTATGACATTATCTAGTCACAATATTAAAAGTTAGTATAAATTAATCTATATATAATCTATAATATTTTTATCATTTGACATTTTAAATATTTATAAATATTTTTGTTTGATAGATCAACACATCAACTTTGATATTATGGAATGTCAAACAAACAAATATTTTTTAAATAAAATTTGGCAGGCAAGCAAATACATCTTACTTATGACAAATGAAAAAATATATCAAAAACCTATAAATATAACAATTATTGATCAATGGATTTTAAGTAGATTATCTCTAATGATTAATACAATCAATAATGCATTTATAGAACGAGATTTCCATAAAGCTATTGCGTCAATGAAGCAATTTTTACATTATGAATTTTGTGATTTTTATTTGGTAAGATTATGGTTACTAATTTAAACTATTTATTAATAGTTTAATTGTTAAGTTTAAGAGAAAAGATTATTTTAAATATAAACTCTTTAAATATATTTTATATATAATATATTAATATATATATAATAAATAAAATAAAAAATATATATACATAATAATAATAATAATAAATAAAAAAAATATATATATATATACATATTCTATTTATTCATATTTTATTTTATTTATTCATTCATTATATATTATTTCATTTTTTTAAATATGAAATTGGGCAATTATTCTTTTATATAAACTTATATAATTCGATTAACAAAAAATATACTACTTAAAAAATAATTAAAAATAATTAAGATTTTATGTTTGTATATATATATATATAGGAAGGAAGTAAATGGGGATTTAAAAGTGAAAATATAAATACACATATAAGTCACACATATGTCTTAAGAAAGTGTTTAGAAGTATTTTTACGTGCATCTGCACCTATAATACCATATCTGTGCGATGATTTGTATAAAAGACTGTCAAATATATTTCCGGAATTTTTATCAGTTCCGTCATTAATGGAAGCACATTATCCAATACCAGAAGAGGTAAAATTATATATTAATTATAAAATGTTTCAAAACCAAAATATAAATTTATATTTATATTTATTATAGTTTAATGAATGGAGAAATGTTCCTCTAGATGAAAAAATAAATGAAATCTTAAGAGTTATATTAGAAATTAGAAGTATCATGGGTAATATTAATAAGAAATTAAATCCAGAAAGTAATTATTTATACATATAATAATATACATACAATTTATATGAAAATTAATATATTAAACTTAAATATGATTTTTATTCACAGTTCACATTGTAATTAGTAAATCTGATGATTTTCATTTTTATAATAATGTCATCAATTTAATTAAAGGTGGATGCAAAATATTCAATATTTTTATATTTTTAGAAAAGAATTATATAAAACATAAAAATAGCGTTTGTCATTCTTATAATCCTACTTGTACAATATCTATTGTTATAAAGGTAACTTTATTATATTATTATATAACTTTATTATATTATTATACATATTATCAAAAATTTTATTATATAATTTGTCTATAAATATTTATATTTATCATTTATTTAATTTTTAGGATTTTTCTATTTTAAAAGAACTTGAAAAGAAAATTTTAGATAAAACAATTACACAAAATAATTAAACAATATAAATAAAATAAAAAAAAACAAATTTAATTGAAATAAATTATATTGAAATGTATTTAAATTTGATACATCAATTCTCCTAAAAAAATAGATGACTGAAAGTGGATAAT